GGAGGAGGAGGAGGATGAGGAGGAGGAGGAGGAGAAGGAGCATGAGGTGGACTTGGGCGCCTCTCGGACTGCTGTCCGAGCTCCCGCTCACCGTCCTCTCGCGGCCGCCCGCCCGAGGTGCCGCGCAGCGACCATACGAGCACCCACTCCGGCACCACCACCTTCACGGGCGAGTCGGGGAAGGGCGCGGCAGGCCCCGCAGTTCCTTCCCCTCCACCCTGTCACCGAACTCGTTCCACTACTCGCAAAGTGCCTACTCGCACCTCCTCCTCCTCCTCCTCCTCCTCCTCCTCCTCCTCCTCCTCCGCATATGCGTGTTTCGACGTAGTGTATCGTATATTCCCCGCGGCGGATCCGGGCCATTTGCGAGCAGCTACTCTGCGAGTAGTGGGACGCGCTCGTGTACCCTCGCCCCGCGCGCCGCCCGCTGCCCGAGGCCGGGGAGGGTGCCTCGCGGAGGCCTTGGGCTGCTCTCGGAGGAGGAAGCGAGGAGGAGTCGACAAATCATTCGAAGAAGGAAGTCAAGTTGTGGCGAGGAGTCCTGGCTCGCCTGTAGGTCCACCTGGTGGACCTAACATCGAGCCAGGACTCCTCGCCACGATGTTTTTGCGGGACCAACGAGATGGTCTCAGAGCATTTCTGGCTGGGACTGTCTTGGTTTTTAGCACATCGGGTTTATGCTCTAAGAACCTGGTTTTTGTTCTTAGGACATTTTTGGGTTCTAAGAGCATGTGCTGGCAGGCCTATAGGAATGCCAGGACGGTCGGTTCCTGCTCAAGGAAATGCGCCATCAACATAAACTTTGGGCGCTCTGCGCGGATTTCTTGGATCCGCTCTGGGCCCCCCCCAGCGGCGCCTGAGGCGCCGCCCCTGGCGCGCTCCGCGCGCCAGGGAGGGGGGTCCAGCGCGGATCCAAGAAATCCGCGCGGAGCGCTAAAAGTTTTTTTTTGTATGGCGCTTTGTCTCTTTTCTCATCACACAGAAAAGAAGGCAGGACGGGAGGTTTTACAAAACAAGCATCGCTGACAAATTCCAGGCGTGCATGCGTCGTAGATCATCACGACGGAAGGTTTTACTATTTTCGGTCATTGGGGGCCCCCGCCAGACCACAGGACCGTGAACAAAAAGGGCCCAGGATGAAAGCCAGTCCCAGGTAATAGGTCGAGATGAGATCTCTGGGAGTCGACGTTGTAAAGAGATCATGACGTCGGGTCTGGGACCGAGACCGCTGCGCGTCCTGTGGAGCCCTCGTCGCAACGGCTTGCTTTTTCTTGACACTCCAGCCGTCGAAGGAAAAAGAACGCCATAAACATAAACTTTGGGCGCTCCGCGCGGATTTCTTGGATCCGTGTTGGGCCTCCCTCGAGGGCGCATCCGGCGCCGCCCCTGGCGCGCTCCGCGCGCCAGGGAGGGGTCCGGCGCGGATCCGAGAAGTCCGCGCGGAGCGCCAAGAGCTTGTGTGTCTGGCGCTTTTCCTGCTTCCGAGTCGGGATAGCTCCCCTCGAGTAAGACACAGCTGCAAAGCCGCGGAGGAGGAGGAGGAGGAGGAGGAGGAGGAGGAGGAGCGGGAGGAGGAGGAGTGGGAGGAGGGGGAGGAGGAGGAGTAGGAGGAGGAGGAGGAGGAGGAGGAGGAGGAGGAGGAGGAGAGATGAGGAGGAGAGAGGAGGAGGAGGGATGAGGAGGAGGAGGAGGGAGGAGGAGGAGGAAGAGGAGGAGGAGGAGGGGGAGGAGGAGGAGGAGGAGGATGAGGAGGTTAAGGCGGGCACGTCCATCTACGGGAGGAAAATTCGAAGATAGTCGTAAAGCAGTCTGGGGACGATGTTTCTACGATTTGTGAATCATTTTTGCACATGTTTTGACTCTTTCTTATGTGTCGTCCAACATCCGCCTGTAGGAGGACATGCCTAAACCTAAGTTCATGGTTTATGCAGTCCTTTGTTCTGAGAAAGCTGCGTGTTTTTGAAGCCGGATTTGGCTTCCAAAGCACGCAGTTTTTGTTAGCCGGATTCGGCTCCAAAAACACGCAGTTCTTGCAGTCCTTTGCTCCTCCACCGCTCCCCGTCCTGAAGAGCCCTCTCTGCCACGGCGGGGTTCTCCTCGGGACTCTGGTCAGAGTGCGCCCGGGGAGAGGTCCGGGGAGTAGCGGTATCGGTGTTCTTTGGTCGGCGTTCCGGTTGCAGGCTCACCGTTCCAGGCGTCTTACAGTGAGCTGCTTGAACAAGGAACATTTACTGTTCAAAAGGGGCCTGGCCGTTACTCAGGATTGCATGTCTCATTTATGGTTCTTTATGCGTTATGTATTATTGGTCATCCTTATGCGTGGCTTCTTGGAAAAAGGGGGCCCCGTTCTTTAGGTCAGGCCGATGACTGTACGACAGTTGCCGCATTCTGCCCAGTACGAGTCACCGTCTTGGCTCGGCTCAGACGCTTCGCAGGGCCCGGCACATGGCCTTGTGTGGTGCGCGCGGTGCGCCGCGTCGAGGCGAGTCTTCCTTTGAGTCCCATTCCTCATCCTGGTCCTATGTCTCTTCTCCCTTGCCCGTCCCTTCCCGCCATTTCTCCTCCTCCTCCTCCTCCTCCTCCTCCTCCTCCTCCTCCTCCTCCTCTCTCTCTCCTCCCCCTCCTCCCCTTCCTTCTCTTTCTCCTCCTCCTCCTCACCGATCTCTTCGGGCACATGATGGGACTCCTACCTGATTCCAGAGAACGCGAGATTGACGGCAGCGCTGGAGATGAGGATATTTTATGCTCCGAATATCAAGGCAGAAGAGCAGGGCATGGGCATCCCTCACATACATATCGGGATCGTCTTCTTCAAGGGTCTGATGCATATGGATTTGCCAAGCCGATCCAAAGAGGCCCTCGCCACGTTAGGGATCTGAGTCGACCACGTGTGTCGCCGGCACCTCGGAGACATTGCCCCTTTTATGTAATGGCCTCCGGCCAGTGCCGCCGATCCGGGGGGCTCCGGATTCGGTGATCTTCGCGGCTCTGTGGCCTTCTCCCTCCTCGATTTGCACAAATCATAAAGAAAACGACAGATGGGGGACCGCCCCCCCCCCTTCCCCCCTTCCCCGGGGAGGGTCCGGGGAGGCTTCCGAGGGTACAGTCCTGGGGGCGTTAGCGGCTAGATCTGAGGGGGGTCCCTGGGGCCCCCCGAAACATCTTGGGGATGCGCAGGAGATGGAGAAAACGCCAGATGGAGGACCGACCCCCCCCCCCCCCCCCCCCCCCCTGCCCCCCTTCCCCGGCAGAGCCACCCCGGCGACCCCCCCCCCAACAGAGCTGAAGCTCTGGCGCAGGCTCAGAGCGGCAGCTCTTGCCGAGGCTCCTCGTGGCTCGCTCGCCGGGTCGGCGGGCCTGCGTCTGGAGCAGGCGTGCACGGAGGCGGGCCGCGGTCGAAGGTGCGAGCTCCAGCTAGTGTGCAGCCCTCTCGCAGTGAGCCCCCTCCTCCTCCTCCTCCTCCTCCTCCTCCTCCTGCTCCTCCTCCTCCTCCCCCTCCTCCTCCTCCTCGTTGCGGACACGGATCTGATCGACGTGATCGGCAGGAGCCGCGAGGGGGAGAGGCCGTCCAGGGAGCCGATCGAGCCGGAGCTTCGTCCCGCGCAGAAGGGGGGGGGGTCCGAGAGGCAGCCCACGTCACCCCGGTGGGCGGAGGAGGGGCCGCGACACAGGGGTGAGCACAGGGCGGTTCTGCACCAGCTCAGAGACCAGGCCCAGAGATGCAGCGCGGTTGAGGTTTCAGGGCGGCGGGCCCACGCCAGAGCGGGCAGCACGAACGCAAAAGAATCATGATGACCATGATGGGTTTGAGCCCCGAGGCTCGTGAAGGAAACCACAGGTCGCAGCCAGACCAGCACGATCAGGGCTTGCTTGCGCTGTGCGCTGATCGTGGTTGCTGCACGCCGCTGTTGCAGCAGTGTGAGCTCCTGACGCGCATGTGCACGCGTGCGCGCGTGCCCCAGCGACCGCCGCCTGCGTGCAGCCTTCCGGTCGGGACCGCCTGCAGGCAGTGGCGCGGAGGCCAAGTGCTAAGCCGACGCGCTCTGGAGGTTCGAGATCGGCCCAGGGGCCGACGAGGGGCTCCGGGCCTCGGTGGGCCACCCGGCCTCCTCGGGCGCCCCGCGGTCTCGCCTCACGCAGCACCAGCAGCCGCTGATGGCGCTGGCATGTGCCGCCCACTGGACTGCGCGCGCGCACGCTCGTCGTCGCTCGAGCCTTCTCTTCTCGCGGTGGGCACGAAGAGTCCAGTCCTCCTCCTCCTCCTCCTCTTCTTCTGCTTTCTCCTCCTTCTCCTCCTCCTCCTTCTCTTCTTCTGCTTCCTCCTCCTCCTCCTCCCGCCTCCTCCTCCTGCTCCTCCTCCTCCTCCTGCTCCTCCTCCTCCTCCTCCTCCTCCTCCTCCTCCTCCCGCCTCCTCCTCCTGATCCTGAAGGGCGCAGGGCCCGCGGGCGCCCGCTTGGCGAGGTGGGCCGCTCAGAACCTCGCGGTGCCCCCGGGGGCACGCCGCCTCGCGCGCACGGCACGGCGCGCACTCGGCGCCCCGTCCTGTCATCCTCCTCCTCCTCCTCCTCCTCCTCCGCCTCCTCCTCCTACCTCCTCCTCCTCTCCTCCTCCTCCTCTCCTCTCCTCCTCCTCCTCCTCCCCTCCTCCTCCCTCCCTCCTCCTCCAGACACTGTTCAACCTCGCCGCCGCCTCCTCCTCCTCCTCCTCCCTCCTCCTCCTCCTCCCGCCTCCCCCGCCTCCTCCTCCTCCTCCTCCTCCTCCCCTCCTCCTCCCCTCCTCCGCCTCCTCCTTCTCCTCCTCCTCCTCCTCCAGACACTGCTCAACCTCGGAGCGATGCTCGACGGCGCCGGGAACACGTGCGGCCTTTCTCGTCAGGGCGCGGTGCGCCTGCAAGGGGGCGCAATGCCGCTGTGGCTGCTCCAGGCGCTGGTGCATGTCGTGATTCGGGCAACTCTCAAGAACCGCCAGAACATCTCGGCGATCGAGGCGACAGTGTTCACGGTGATCCACCTGATAGCCAACCACGAAGTCTGCATGGCCATGAAGCTGACGGGCCAATACTTCGTGAAGGAAGCCCCGTGCCTCCGTCAGCAGCATCGCCAGGAGCTGAAGAATGGTCACCGCGTCGAAGAGCTCGACAAGTTAGGGATACCGCATCCGCATTTGTGGCTAGCTATTGTTGGGGCCTTGCAGCATCAAGGCGAGAAAGTGAGTGCTCAGAATGTGGCGAAGATCAAGACTTACATGGAGGAGATCAAAGCATATTTAGACAAGACGAGCGACACACTGGGCGACGAGATCAAGTACTGCCGAGTGGCCTACACGCACGACAGGACCACGATGAAGATCTTCCTCGAGGCCAGCAGAACGGGAGTACAGAAGGAGGTCGTCGCCGCGATGGTTCAGCTCGGAGCGACCGTGAAAAAGGACACGCCGCCCAAGAGCCATCGGGAGCGCGTTCTACAGCTAGCGCTCGACGAGATGGCAGATCAAATCTAGGTGTGCAGACAGGTTTCCGTGGCGTCGAAAGAAGGAGCCAGAGAGTGAGCGCTCGATCCCGAGCTTCTGAGCGTGCTCGTTCGCCCGCCCCTGTCTTTCGCGCCCGTGGTGCCCACCAGCTCGGTGCAGCTGCGCGCGCGGAGCTAGGCGGGGACCCGCCGCCGACTCGCCCTCCTCTCCTTGTCCCTCCCCTCGTCGGTGGCGTCGACGTCGTCGTCCTCGCCTCGCCTCGTCCTCCGCGCTCGACGGTGCGATGGTTCGTCCACGCGGAGGGAGCCCGCAGGAGCGCGGCGAGAGCGGCAGCCGCGGCGCCGGCGCCCGACCCTCGACCCTTCGCCCCGCCCGACTGGCTCGGAAGGCGGCCCTGGGCCCGGGTGGCTCGTCGTTCCAGCTGCTGGGGGTTCACCACCTACCAAACCACCCCGACCCAACCCGCAGGCCTCAATTTGCCCTCCATTTCCAGTGGGGAGGGTCGGGGAACGTTGAAAAAACACATGGAACCTGTACCCCCCCCAACCCGAAATTCGGGTCAAATTCGGGTCTTCGGGTTGGGTTGGGGTAGTGTGGTAGGCAGTCAGGGGTGGCGGTGGCATGGGTACCTGCGCCTCAAGTTCTGCCGTGCTGCTGGTTTGGACGCCCGCAATGGGTACTGAAAGAATGGGCACGATGCCCAACAACACTTCCTGTTCATTTTCAACAGGATTCGCTGTCCACGCCGCCGCGGCCTGTGTCCGTTCGAGGCAGCAGGCCGCCTGCCCAACAGCGGCCGCTGTCGGCTTGGGACAACATTTGTTGTTGGGCATAGTGCCCATCCTTTCCGTGCCCATCTCGGGTGTCCAAAGCTGGGGGTGGCGGCGGCGTGGGTGCGCGCCTCGAAGTCTGCCGCGCTGCATCTTCCGTGGCGCTCTCCTGGGCTCGAGCTTTTCTCGCCGCCCGGACGCGCCGATCGGGCCTCTTGGAGCTCCTGTGTGGCTCGGTCCCCGTCGCCTGCTGAAATGCTTGTGGCCACCCCGATTCTGTCGAGTTTGAGCGCGGCCTGGCCCCAGGGATATCTCCGAGCTGGGTTCGTTGAGGCACGTTCGAGCCCCCCCCCCCAACGTGCGAAGCACCCCGCTGACTATAGCGCACTCTGGGCACTTGAGCTGACAGGCTAATTCCTTGAATGCCAGCGTTCAGACTCGTGTACCTGCAGAGGTCCGCCGCCGCCGCCGCCGCCGCCGCCGCCGCCGCCTCCTCCTCCTCCTCCTCCTCCTCCTCCTCCTCCTCCTCCTCCTCTCTTGCCATTGCCGTCGCCCGCCCATCCCCTCCGGGGCGGACAAAAGCGTAGGGGAATGATCGGGGGCAACGATAAGGGGGGGGATAGGCATAGGGGGGGATGCATCGATCCTCGATCCTCGATCGCCCATGGATCGCCGACAGGGACACGATAGCCCCACCCCGCCCAGGAAGGTGCGGATTCACTGTCGGGGGCCTATCGCCGATTTGTCGACGATGTATCGCCGATTCCAGGTCGACGCATCCCCCCCCTATGCCCATCCCCACTATCGTTGCTCCTCGAACGAAAGGTGGCATAAACATAAAAACTCGGAGGTCCGCGCGGATTTCTCGGATCGGCGCTAGAGCCCCCAGGCGGCGCCTCCGGCGCCGCCCCGGCGCGCTCCGCGCGCCAGGGAGGGGGGTCCAGCGCCGATCCGAGAACTCCGCGCGGGCCTCCGAGTTTTTATGTCTGTGTCACTGCTCGCTCCCCGGAAAGCGGGGCATCGGGAAAGGGGGGGGGGCTACGAGCATTGCGGTATGCAACCGGTTTCGGCCCTGCCGCTGGGCTGCGTCCCTTCTCTCAAGGGAGGAAAATCCACCGACACCCGACACTTGGCGTTTACGAAGCGGCCCCGGGCGTTCACTAAGCAACCCTGCCCTGTTTGATTCCTTCTTTGGGCGCGTTTGTTTACCAAGCGACTTCGCGTGTCGGGGTGGTTATTGTCGGGGTGGATTCTTGATGGCTTCTATTCATGCGTTGGGCGCCGAGGGATCAGGACAAGGTTCGCCAGATTATTCAATTGCGAGAGGTGGCCCCCTCATATTTTTGTTGTCCGCCCCGGCGCCGCCGCCTCCCGAGCCTGTGCGCTACAGTGGGGGGCCCATGCCAAGAAACACCCTGCTTGCCTCCAGGGTGCCCTAGGTTTCTTGGGCTTCGATGGTTCTGTGATGGAGAGCGCGACGCTCTCACACCACAACTCCATGGACGTCCTGGGGTCTCAGGGTTGGGTTTCTTGTGGAAGGTTTTTTGTGGACTGGATTCCATTGTCCCCCCCCGGACCCCCGACGTAAGTAATGTCGTTCTGTCATAGCATGGATTCCCGCAGGCCTGCTTCTCCGGGACCCCTTCCCGGGCACCAGCTGTTCATCCCGAGTCGTTTCGTGACGGTGCTGGGGCCCGGTGAGGGCCGTGGGGCCCGAGAACAGCGAAAGGCACGATCTCCCCCCGTGCTCTCCTCACGACGCGAGGGGGCCTCCGCCCGACCCGTGTGCGCCACTCTTTCCGCAGCTCGCCCCAGCTCTGGCTCCTCCTCCTGGGCCTTCCAGAGGGGTCGGGGTAGATGGGGGCGGAGGATCGCGCCGCATCGCCGATGCATCGATGCGGCTAGATGTGGGACCCGAGTTTCTCCACGCCGACGTCGCCAGCACATCCTCGACGTTGCCGGTGCACCACCGATGCATCGCCGATGCATCGCCGATGCGGCGCGATCCTTCGACTCCATCTACTCGGACCCCACCTAGGAGGCCTCTACTCAACGCGTGTGCATGGCTCGGGTTTGGCGTAAGTCTGGCGTCCGAATGGTATCGCCCCTCAGGATCCAAGCTTCCCTGCAAACTTTTGCCCGGTGTTCGAGGGGAGGCTGACGAGGGATCCCATGAGCACGTCTAAGTCTAAGTCTCCTCCTCCTCCTCCTCCTCTTCCGCAGCAGCAGCCCTGCCGGGTCTTCCAGGGGTGGGCCCGCGCCAGCGGTCAGGCGACGGCAAGGACACCAGCGGCGGCGACAACAGCGGCAACAGCGCCGAGGCCACCACTGGCGCCTCGAGCAGGCCCCCCACCCGCGGGCCTTGCGGCCGCTCGCGGGCCTCCTCCTCCTGCTCCTCCTCCCTCCTCCTCCTCCAACTCCTCCTCCTTCTCCTCCTCCTCCTCCTCCTCCTTCTCCTCCGCCCTTCTCCTTCTCCTCCTCCTCCCTCCTGCTCCTCCGCCCTCCTCCGCCGCCTCCTCCCTGCTCCTCCTCCTCCTCCCTCCTGCTCCTCCGCCCTCCTCTGCCGCCTCCTCCCTCCTGCTCCTCCTCCTCCTCCTCCTCCTCCTCCTCCTCCTCCTCCTCCTCCTGCTCCTCCTGCTCCGCCTGCTCCTCCTCCTCCTCCTGCTCCTCCTCGACCCCGTCGCGACGTGGACAGGAACCGAAACATCGGGCGGGGGTAATGGGAGGTGACCTAAAGGGGGGGTGAAGAAAGGGCCCTAAAAGGGCCCTTTGGGGCCCCTGCTGGCTCCAAGCGGCGCCCTAAAGGGCCCCTTCACGGCACCTTCACTCACTCCCCATTCGGGTCTCCCCCATCACCATCGGCCCGAAAACAGAGAAGCAAGCTTTAACGGGCGAAGAACGGTATAACATAAACTTTTTCGCCGTCGGGGACACCTGCCCCTGGGCGGCAGGAAGTATTTATACCCCTACGGTGCCACCGTAAGGGTATGAACTTTCCAGCCGCCCAGGGGCAGGTGTCCCCGACGGCGAAAAAGTTTATGTTATACCGTTCTTCGCCCGTTAAAAGCATGCTGTCCTCAGATCCGCGCGGATCCCTCAGAGCGGCGCTGGGCCACTCTGGCAGCGCCTCCGGCGCCGCGCTCCCGAGGGGGGCCCGGCGCTGATCCCAGAGCCCCGCGCGGAGCTTCGACAGCCTGTGCTTCTGCCGCTGTGTGCTCCTCAACGTCTCTGGACGGCACTGCGCTCGCGACGTGGACACGATCGTAATCCTGCAGAGGGAAGGGGGTGCCCCAGGGTGTGTGTGTGAGAGAGAGAGAGAGTTCGATCGTATTTTGCACCGACCCGCCCAAGACAGATGCCCCCCAGCCGCTGGAATCTCCTAATAGTTGCCGACAGGCGAGGCGTGCGGGGGCATCTGTTTGCGGCGCTTCGGTGCACCAGCGGATCGAATTCAGGCCCCCCCTCAGGGTTCCGAGGCGGGGATTTATCCATATCCACCGCCGGGGGGATCGATCCTCGCGGACCTCCACGGCGGTGGACGTGGGTATATTCGGGCCCTCGGCGGCCACAATATATCCATGTCCACCGCCGGCTAGGGTTCTGTCGGGCGTGTCCCCCTACATGGGGATTTTCGACGAAAAATAAAAATACCCCGAACATACCACCAAAAGGTCAACAAATATGCAAAAAATGGTCCCCAGACTATTTTTGGATTATTTGTTTTTGTTTTATGTGTTTTAGGGTATTTTCTAGTTTTCGTCGAACATCCCCCCTGTAGGGGGACTGGCCCGACTTAACGCTGGGGCACCAGGGCGTCGAGATCCCCAGGCGGTGGATGCGGATACAGTCCTGCCGCGCAAGGGTCGCCACCCGTTTTGGTGGATATGATGTAGAGACCACGCTGGTTATTGTGGCTAGGCGTGTTGTCGACAGAGGCGTCGTGTGAGGCGATGATCACAGACTTCTCAAAGTCAGAACCTCCACGGAGTAGGACAGAACCCCCAACAGTGACACGTCGATTAGTGAATTGTCCGTTTTCGGTTCTCGGAGGGCGCCGCAGCCGTTATTTTCCGGGCTTGCGCCCGCCAGGTTTGAGCCTCAGGTCGTTTTTCACTAAACCACGTTTTGCTAAAGGGGGGTCTTTCCATCCCCGAACTATCGGGGGCCAATCGCCGATCCATCGGCGATGCGTCGCCGATTCCAGGCGGATGCTTCCCCCCCCCCCCCGCCTGGAGTCGGCCCCCCTCCCCCCCCTGGGGTTCCCCCCTCGGAGGTGGGAGGAGAGAAAGGTGGGAGCATCTCCACCGCGCCAGGGTCCACCCCCGTTCGGGTGGCTCTCCCGGCTGCGCGCGCACGGCGGAGGTGCTTTTTTTTTCTCGCCAGGGTCGGCCTCGCGGGGCCTCTGCTGGCAGGGCCCAGGGTGCGCCGACGTCTTTCCACGGGGAGGAGGAGGAGGAGGAGGAGGAGGAGGAGGAGAGGAGGGAGGAGGAGGAGGAGGAGGAGAGGAGGAGGAGGGAGGAGGAGGAGGGGAGGAGGAGGAGGAGGAGAGGAGGAGGAGGAGGAGGAGGAGGCAGCAGAAGCCCAAACCCTAGCGTGAAGTCGGGCCTGTCCCCCTACAGGGGGGATCTTCGATGAAAAAAAAAATACCCCCAAAATCGTCAAAACATGGTCCAAGAGTAGTCTGGGGACTGATCTTTGAGTATGTTTTGACCTGTTGGGTGTATTTTTGGGGTAAGTTTCAGTCGCAATCCCCCTGTAGGGGGACACGCCCGACATAACCCTAACAACTCGGAGGTGAATAGCCTGACACGTCGATGAAGGAGTTTGCCGTTGTCGGTTCGCGAGAGGGCGTCGCGGCCGTCATTTTTGCGGGTCCAGGTCCGTCGGTCCCAGGCCGTTTTCATTAAGGGGAGGTCTACTAAAGGGAGGTTTGTCCACCGCCGATGTATCGAGAGCAGAAGAAACCCAAACCCTAATAACACGAGGAAGACGTGGTCTCACTGAGGTCCCCATCTTCGCATTTGAGATAATAATGCTGGACGGTTCGGTTCGATGCATCTGCAGAAAGGAGCCCCTCTCCCTGAAGCTGTCGATATTCCTAACTTCTGTCCCCTCCCAAAGGGTTAGGGGTTCTGTTTTGGTTTATCAGACCTGCGTTCCGATGAACCAAAGTTCAGACTTGTTTTTTTTTCCGACGGCCCCGTGAGACCAGCTCGGGTCCCCAAACTCCGAGACTTCCGATTACCTGGACGTGATGAACAAGTCGCAACGCTGGAGCTCGTTCTTCAGGGGGTCCTGCGGTAATCCAGGTTATCGGGCCCACGCCCCCCCGATAATCTAAGCGTATCGTTTATCGAATATCAGCATCATCATCATCGTCGTCGTCGTCGCCTCCGTTATCACAATCAGAAGCAGCATCATCATTGTCATGTTCATCCCCACCACCGTCTTTATCAGCATCAGCACACCCATCATTATTGTGTCATCATCATCACCGCCATCACCATCATCATGATCATCATTTCCATCATCATCGTAATTACGATCGTACGTATCATCATCATGATTATCATCAGCATCATCGTCATCGCCATCTTCGTCTTCATCGCCGTCATCACCAGCATCACCATCATCATCATCACCATCAAAGGCATCATCATCATTATCATCATCAGCGTCGTTGTCAGTATCAACACCATCGTTATCAGTCTTATCCTAGTCATCCCCACCACCATCATCATACTGGTCATCGTCGTCGTCATCATCATCGTCATCACCACCACCATCAGCGCCACCATCATCATCGTTGGCATCACCAGTACCACCATCAGCACCGTCTGTATCAATAGCATCAGCGTCACCATTATCATCATCGCCGTCGTTGTCGTCGTCGTTATTTTCATCAATCATCATTATCATCAGCACCATTATCATCTTTCATCAGTATCATCATCAGTGTCACTATCCTTAGTCTCATCGCCGCCACCGTCACTATATTGCCACAGCCGTTCATCCCACCAGCAACACCAGCAGCTTCAGCATCAGCATCAGCATGATCATCATCACTATTATCATCATCAGCAGCATCACCAGCATCATCCTCCTCCGCCCCCCCTCCTCTTCCTCATCCTCATCCTCATCCTTATCCTCATTGTCGGCGTCATCTGCAGCCATTTTGGTTCAAGTGTCTGCTCGAGGGCCTCCCCTCGTGTGGAGACCAGCGTAGGCGGCGCGCGCCCGCGCGCCATGGTAGCCGCGTGTCGGCCCTGGAGCGCGTGGTGAAGCGGGCGCTCACGGACCACGGCGTGCTGCCCAACAGAGGCTATTGGTGTTCGGCATGCGGCGGAGCTACTTATCTCGAGCTGTAGGTGAGCTACGAAGCCGAGATGCACACCATTCGGCAGATAAAGATCACGGGGGCTAGTCAACAGTTCGAGACGTTTGAGATCGGTCTGCTACAAGAGTTGCGACTCGCGTTCGGCCTCGGGGGCAGGCCCAGCATTCTTGGGCGACGTCATGCACCAGTGGGCTCAGCCGGTAGACCTGGCGGCTCCCGTGTGGGCAGGAGTGCTGCAGACGTGTGCAGGGGCTGGAGCACTTGGGGCGCGCTCGGGGAGGTGCCTGGCAGCCAGGCGCGCGAGGAGCTGTCGACGAGCGCGGGCAAGGACGAGAGCGAGCACGCGCAGGAGGCGGGCGTGAAGCTGAGGGCGAGACCGCGGTCGCCTCGGGCTCCTCGGAGCGAGACCTGGCAGACGGCGAGGCGCTTTGCAGCTGCCCGCCAGCGCCGTGCGACCCACCCGCTCGCGAAAACCACGGGTTTCTGGGTGCTGGCGGCCGCGCGGGAGACCGAGGGCGGCGACAGCAGGGTCGTCGAGGCCGTGGAGGCAGCACAGGCCGATGCAGGCGCGGTAGGGCTGAAGGAACGCAGCAAACAACGGCAAGGGCTGCGTGAGCGGCGAGCCCGGTGAGGGAGGGGTGCGAGCAGCCAAGAGGTGCGGAGGACCACCTGGAAGGAACCATCGCCGTCGCGGCCGCCAAGCGCGGGGTGCTGGCGTCGGCGCAGGTGGAGAAGAACGTGGCCAAGCCGGTGGTGTAATCGGAGCTGTCGGCGGCGGTGCACGTCGTGATGGCCGCGGAAGAGATCGTGGCGCAGCAGGGCATTGTGGACATGGCGACGTCGGTGGTGCGGGACACTTCGGAGAAGACGGGCACGTTTCAGGAGCAGTTCGATGGGAAAAGAGGAACCGTGAAGGCCGTGGAGCCGCTGTCGTAGGGGGAACCGCTGGTGCAAACCGACGCTGCCGTGCTGGAAGCCGCCGACAGCGAGACGGATCGGGGCGTCGA